ATATATCATGTTGATGGATAAAAAAATTCACTCTTATAAAGATAGAAATTCTCCCAAAATTAGTCTTTGAATTTTATATGATTGGAATCAAATTTCTGGTACATTTTGTGAGGAAACTGACAGGCTGATTTTATAATTTATTCAGAAATTTGAAAGGTCAAAGATAGACTAAGCAATCCTGAAGAAAAGTGAAGAATAATTTGGAGGACTTACACAACTACATATTAAGACTTATAACAGAGCTATAGTAATGAAGGCAGCGTGGTATGGCAAAAGAACAAACTAACAATGGAACAAAACAGAGATTCTAGAAACAGATCCACACATATAAAGACATATGATTTATAGTAAAGATGTCACTACAATGCAGAGGGGCAAAGATGGTAATTTCAGTAAGTGGTGATGGGTCTATTAGAAATTCAAGGACAGAAGTGTTCTAGACTCCTACCTGATACCATACACAAAAGTCAATTCTAGATTGATTAAACATCTAAGTTTGGAAGATAAAACAACAATGCTTTTAGAGAAAAAATATAGGAATATATTTGTCTAACTGTGGAGTAGGCAAGAATTTTTAAATACAATTAAAAATGCACCAGCTACATAAAATTGATGAAGTGGGTTAAAAATTAAAAACTCTTTTTCCTCAAAAGTTACCATTAAGAGAGTTAAAAGTCAAACCATGGTATAAAGAGACTCTTAAAATTGATATATGTAACAAAAGAGTTGCATCCAGAATATATAAATATTATAAAACAAGAAAAATACGAATAGCTCACTATAAAAAACTGGCCAAAAAAGAAATTGAAAAGACAGTTCACAAATATGATTATCCATCTAGCCAATCAGCATATGAAAAAGTGTTTAACTTTATTAGTCATGAGGAGTATACAAATTAAAACCACAGAATGGTTATATTTAAAAAGGAAAAAACACCAAGAGTAGGTTAGATGTAGAGCAAATGAACTCATATAACGCTAAAGTATAAATGCAAATTGGTACCAATACTTTGAAAAGTTATTTTGCGATATCACCCAAGATAAACATGTGCATAACCAATGAACTGGAATTTCATTCTTATATATCATCATTTGCTTAGGATAAAACTGTATACTTAATAGCAATAAAGAGAGGTGTGAAAAAAAAAACCATTTTAGAAACAACAGGAAATTTAAGTTGACCAATTATATAATTAGCATAATGTACTATGATATAGTATACTATCATATAAATATATAAATGTAATATAACATGAATATAATCATTAGTAACAAAAGAAGCATTGTAATAAAAGAAGCATCAGTTAGAAAATACAATGAATTGTATTTACAACAGAAACAATGTATACGAAATATCTAGGGAAAAAATTTTATAATGCATATGTAATAAAATCTGTATTAAGAGAAACACAAAACGCAGTTAAGAAATACGCATATACAAAGAGTTGAAATGGAGAAACTTTGTTTTTAAGATGGGAGATGCAAAATTATTATGTCAATATTACCTAAATTTAACCTAAAATTTAAAGCAGTTCTAATTAATATCTCAATAGGATATTATGAGATATAGAATACAGACTATGGGGTAAAGAAATAAAATCTAAATATACACACCTTTGTGATAAGGTCATTAAGTCACAACTAAGCAGGGTTCAAACAGGTGATATTCTTGTGGAAGCTACTCAGGTAGAAAAATCTATGTTTTTTATCACATGTTCATTGAGATCTCTTGTCAATAACATGATTTCAGAAGGCTCTTGTCTAACAAGTCACTTGAGTTCTACCGGTGACTCAGCCAGCCATCCATATGGGCTTGCGGGCCTCTGTTCTCAGGTCCACATGCATCCATAGGCCTCAGATATGTAGCCTTTCCACGGCTGTCCTTGAGATCACACTTGTGACACATTTAGCAACACTGGGAACTCTCTCTCCACTCCGGACTTAAGACATTTTACCCTACTCTGCTTTCCTAACTTCTTTAGTGTTGCTGTTTATTGCAATCAGGCAAAGAAGAAATAATTCCAAACAAATCGGAGGCCGATAATCCACTCCATCACCACCCTCTTCCCACTTCACATACTCATCTCTTTTCAATAAAACCCAGCAGGTCAACAGCAGGGAGCCCTTTTTCTCTAACCTCTGTCACCTCCTGGCCAGGAGCACAGTCTATCCTTTCTGATTCGGGGATTTCTGGGCACTCCGGAATAAATGAAGTATCTGCATAGAAATTAAAGGGCAAAGTTGAAAATCTGTAGTGTCATCAGTTCTGGGAAAGACGCAGTTACAGACGTTCAGCCAGTTCTCCAGTCCCTGACCACTAGCAGCATATCTACATCTGCATGGAATGTTTACCACTTCTCCCAGTGTTAAACACATTTCCTTTTTGTTTAGTTGGGTTTTTTGAGCTATAATTCACATTCTGTAAAATTCACTCTTTAAAAGTGTACAATTCAATGGCTTTTAGTATTTTACAAAGTTGTGCAACCAATCACTGCTATCTAATTCCAGCACATTTTCATCACCCCAAAAAGAAATCACTCATTAGTGCTCACTTCCCATCCTCCCTTCCCCAGTCCCTGGTAAATATCAATCTGCTTTCTGTCTCTACAGGATTTGCCTATTCTGAACATTTCGTGTAAACAAATCATAAAATATGTGGTCTTTCACATATGGCTTCTTTTACTGGAGATAACATTTTCAAGGTTCATCCATGCTGCTGTGTTTAACAATATTTTATTCCTTTTCATGGCTGAATTATATTCCATTATATGAATACAATACTTATCAAAATCTATTCATCAGTTAGTGCACATTTGGGTTATTTTAACTTATTGACTATTATACAAAATTCTGCTATGCACATTCACATACAAGTTTTTATGTGAATGTATGTTTTAAATTCTCTTGCCTATACCTAGAAGTGGAATTGCTAAGTAATATCGTTAACTTTAACTTTTTGAGGAAATGTCAAGTTCTTTTCCCAAGCGGCTGCAGTACTTTACATTCCAACCAGCAATGTATGATGGTTCCAATTCCTTCACATCCTCAACATTTGTTATGATCTGTCTCTTTTTTTTCAATATAGACATCTTAGTGGGCATGAAGGGTATTTCATTTTGACTTGAATTTCCCAAATAACTGATGGTGTTGACTATTTTTTCATGACGTACTGGCCATTTGCAGACCCTCCATGAATAAATGTCTGTTAAATCCTTTGCTCATTTTAGAACGTTGATTATTTTTCTTCTAATTTTGAATTGTAAGATTTCTTTATGTATTTTGGATGGTAGACCATTATCAGACATGTCATTTACAAATATGTTCTCGCATTCTGTGGGTTGTCTTTTCATTTCCATGATAGTGTCCTTTGAAGCACAATTTTTTTTTTAATTTTGAAGTCCAATTTGATTTCGAAGACCTAATCTAAAGTCACAAATATTTATACCTACTTTTTTCTTAGCGTTTTATAGTTTTGGCTCTTACATCTTGACCTTTGATCTATTTTGAGTTCATTTTCATATATGATGTCTTTCAGCATGTGGATATCCAGCTGTCCCACATATATTTTGTTTGTTTGTTTTTTGCTTTTTTTCCTCCACTCACTTTCAACCATCTGTGATGTAAACTGGGAAGAAACTACTGTCCTCATTTGAGATAAAGACCTTCACTCAACATTGGCTATTTTTGCTTTAGACTTTACCACGTTTGTGACCCCTCTCCCCAACACAACAGCACCAGAAGCAGCATCTGATTCAGTGGGCTCACAAGCCACCTGAAACCCAGAATCCTATCTGAAGCTTAAGGCAACAGTTGCTGTGAGCACAATTGGTGCTCTTCTATACCTTTGTTTCTACTCAAACAAGACTTCAAAACATCTCTATTAGCTTTATAGCTCTACACTTGATATATACATATATTTAAATAAAAATGTGTTTTACAATTGGGTTAAAGACTAAACATAAGAGACTCCTAAAACTGCAAAACTCCTAGAGGAAAACTCACAGGGGAAATGCTTCATGAGCTTGGCCTTGGTGATGATTTTATGGATACGACACCAAAAGCACAGGCAACAAAAGCAAAAATAGACAAGTGAGACCACATCAGACTAAAAAGCTTCTGCACATCAAAGGAAACAGTCAACAGAATCAGAGGGCAACTTAAGGAATAGGAAAACATATTTGCAAACCATATATCTGAAAAGGTGCTAATTTCTAAAATAAATGTAAGGAATTCCTACAATTCAATAGCAAAAACAAAACAAATAAAACCCACAAATAACCTGATTGGACTAAAGACTTGATTAGACATTTTTTCCAAAGAAGAAATACAAATGGCCAATAATTACATAGAGAAATGTTCAATGTCACTCATCACCAGGGAAATTCAAATCAAAACCACAATGAGATACCACCTCACATCTGTTACAATGGCTATTATAAAGAAAATAAAAAGATAACAAGTGCTGGTGAGGATGTGGAGAAATGGCAAATTGGTCCAGCCACTATGGAAAACAGGATGGAGGTTCTCCAAAAAATTAAAAACAGAAATTAGCACATGATCCAGTAATTCCCCCTTCTAGTTATTTATCCAAAAGAATTGAAATCGAGACCTCAAAGAGATACTAGCATTCCCATGTTCATTGCAGTGCTGTTCACAGTAGCCAAGATGTGAAAAAAGAGTGTCTGCTGAAGGATGGATGGATAAAGAAAATGTGATATATACATATGATGGAATATTATTCAGCCTTAAAAAGGAAATAAATCTGGTCATTTATAACAACATGGATAATCCTTGAGGACATAATACTAAGTGAAACAAGCCAGTCACAGAAGGAAAAATATTGCATGATTCCACTTATGTGAAATATCTAAAATAGTCAAACTCACAGAAAGAAAGAATAGAATGATGGCTGCCAGGGGTTGGGGGAAGGAGGAAATGGGGTATTGTTAATCAACTTATAAAATTTCAGTTATGTAATTCTGATAAATTCTATAGACCTGATGTATAGCATTATGCCTACAGATAACAGTACTATATTGTACACTTGGAAATCTATTAAGATGACAGAACTAATGTTAAGTGTTCTCATCACCATAAAAAATCAAATTAAAAATATTCCTTTTCAACTCATGGAAACATAGCCTCAAAAAACATCTCGAGACAAGTCCAGTATGTAAGACAGTTAAAAGTGGAACTTCTCTGCATGAATTAGAGTATGGTTTAGGATGAATACAGGTGTGAAGATCTAGTTTTGTCTACTTTTAAATAGAAGAAACTGTTTATATACACTAGGATAATAATCTCATGAGACTTGTTCCCCACTACACATATACACACATACACACACAAGTTTTATAGGGAAAAAGCAGTGAAAGGCTAAAAATCACTTATGTCAATGGTTTTTAAATCACCTTACAAAGTCATAACTGTTCCTAGAAAGTGCTTTAATGTTTACCATGAAGAACAGTGGAAAGAGATTGAGTAGGGGTCTGCTACCAGCAGTTTCTTTTCACTGCATGCTAAATCTACACTTACAAAGTCAGCTTTATCAAGCTGAATACTCCTCAAATTCATTTTAAGAATAGGTTTTTGTATTGCACACGGTATTTTATTATTTAGGGTATAATGTGTGCATGAAGGAGAAGGCATTCTGTGATGTTTCTGTGAGAGAGCAATTTCAAAGGCGTCTATGAAGAAATCATAGCTATTTAATCAGAATGTGGGCAGGAGGCTAATTGTATTCGACATACATGGTCCAAGTTAAGCAGCCCTTAACTTCCCTAAAACCTGGTTTCCTTTTCTGTCATGTAATGGGACTGGACAGTTAACCTCAACTCTTTTTCTTGAAGATTATTTTATGACCCTGGGTTGAAGGACAGGGTTCTGATGAGCCTAATTTTGCATCTTGCTAAAATTGCATCAAATAAGACTTGGGAGACCTTGAATATTGCTAGCATTCAAGGTTTAGTTGCAGAAAAAGAACACTTATCATTTGGAGATTTTTTTTAAATTAACCATGGAGGTAGATTCTGAATAATGCATTGTGGTGGCACACTGAAGAATGAAAAAATAAAATGATCTTTTTAGCATCCAGAGGGGATTTCTGTTACTCATCCTTCCAAACCAGCAGCCACAAGCATCTCCCTTACCTGAAGGATTCACCACGAGAAGCAACAACAGGACATCCACGGCCACTACAATTAGGACGAAGATGATCAGAAGGACTTCCAACACACTAAACTTCCTCGCCATCTAGATGGACACAAAGAACAGGATTAAAGTAAACTACAAAACCCCATCCATCTAAAAGAATAGACAGGCATCATGATTAGAACATGAACTCCTTTGCAAGATGACTTGATTATCCGCATTCCTCTTTGTGTAATCCAGAGGATGTTTGTTTCCATTCGTCCAAGTGTCTCCCATTAACTGTAGTCCATGCCTCCAACACTTCTAGGACTCCTGCTTTTTTTTTTTTGTCTGCAGAGGGATTGAATATTGTCTAAGGGAAAAAAAATACATCAGACATAAAGAATTGGACGGAGAGGAGGAGGAATGGAACATAGCCCAGGAAAAAGAGAGATGAGGACTTGAGATGGCTCCCAAAGTCCTTCTAGACACTCCTTGGATCTTCACACCCTCCCTGGGCAGTAGAGAGGAAGGTCCACTCAGGGAGGGGAAACGTAGCAAAACCTGAATCCAAGACTTTTTATTCCAGTTCCCACGCCGTAATGCTGAGGTGTTCAGCTCTTTAAAGGTCACTAATCCTTTTAAGACTCTGGTAAGAAAACGAACCTAATCCTCATCTCCGATATAATGTTTGCACATATGTTCACAGCACACAGATCTGTAGAAATCTCCAGGCTCACAGTAGCTCTAAAGACCACGCATGGACCCAAGTTGTAAAATATTTGGTATTCTGGAGGGTGTGAACTGAACTGGAAATCAAAGAACTTTAATTCTCGTCCCAGTTTCCATACCGACGATGGGTACTTTAACTCTTGGACGTGTGTCTTCATCTACAAAATGAGGTCAGATTCTGGACGTATTCTCATTCATCTGCTCTAACGATATTAATCTAGTGCTACGTGTATGCCCCACAATTCCGTGACAGCCCTGCACTTCAGTGACTCTCATCACCACTCCAGTCCCACCACCCCCTCATTGGCTTTACCCTGGAATCTTATCATCCTCCAGAGTTGCTCCACTTTGGAACTCTTAACCTCTGCCTCCTGTGTATTGGTCAGAAGCGCATGCCTTTTTACCTTCTCATTGCATTGCTTCCTTATTCTTTGATCCCATTAAAGCTTCTGTTCTCTTTAATTTCCTTTTAATTTCTTATCCCCTCCTGGCTTTCAGCCCTAACTGACCTAAGTCTCAATATCTATTATGGCTTTCATTTTGCTTGCTCCCTTATCTGCTTACAGTAATGAACCATCCATCCAAATGTCTGCTTTCTGGGTATGTGCATTCAGCCCAATGTAAATGACACTGGGTTCACAATCTCCCAAATATCCTGGGCCTGCAAGCTGACAGTCTTGCCTGGTCCTCTCATTTTTCACAGCAGAAATTTCAAACGCTGATCCTTCTTTACAAGCCCCAAGCTCTGTCACCTACACTTTTACTCTCAGCCAGTATTATCTCCAGCATCACAGACAAAATGACTATTTTTGCAGAAACTATTTTATATCCCTATTTCTCAACTCAAGCTTTTCTATAAAAATTATCCATATCTAGGTAGCTTCTAATCTTTCCCCCTCTCTTCTCAATGGAAGTTTTCCATCCTCTTAAGTATAATCCTCATATCTATTCTCTAAATCTCACAGCCTTTGAATTTTTCAAAAATCTTACTCCACTGATGACCCTTCTCTCTTGCCTGAGCAACCTCTCCCTCTGAA